AAACGCCCGGCCCAAAAGTCTTCACACTCTGTTCTCTCGCGCGCAGTGAAGGGACATTTTTCACCATGGAGACACCAGCTGTGCGCTCATAGAGAAATAGTTTTTGACAAGTGACGCCGAAGATCGCTTTCAGTTAAAGTGCCGCTGGACTTTAGTTTAATTGTTACCGGAAGTTCAGACTCTGAAGCCGTCGAAACATGGGCAGCGCGATAGTAAAAAAAAAAACAAAAAAAAAACCTACCCGCGCATCCGCCGGAAATTCAAACTATAGAGTAGGCATGCAGGATAGTACTAGAATATAAAAGAGCTCAACCGCTGTTCGCCCTCCTACATAGAATTTTAACAAACGCGTAATAATAGGAAAAGGAGGCAACCATAGAGCTAGAAAAGGACCAGAGGAAGATCCGGTATAAATTGGAAGCCGCCGTTGTACAGGATTATGGGCACTGGGTACTGAGTAACGTTGCTCTGTGATGTATCTTATATCTATTGTACCCTTTGCATTGGCACTGGCGGTGAAAAGTTGTTTAAAGGTAAAGGTTCCCTTGCTCGAAAGCCAGTCGAATCCGACTCTAGGGTTGCGGTGCTCATCTCCGTTTCAAAGCCAAAGAGCCAGCGCTGTCCGAAGACATTTCCGTGGTCATGTGGCCGGCATGACTAAACACCAAGGCCCACGGAACGCTGTTACATTCCCACCTAATTGGTACCTATTTATCTACTTGCAATTTCTTGCTTTCGAACTGCTAGGTTGGCAGGAGTTGTTTACAGCCGTATTAATTCAAAAGTAAAATTAAAAATACAATCCGTGTAATATCTTTATTTTGGATCACCCAGTGGCACATAACTGTAAGCTTTTGCTAACCAGAACACTTCTTCATCTGGCCAGATGTTACTCTTTTCCCCCCCTTTGAGACGGTGGAAAGTAGATTTTTAAAATAATGTTCTTAAGATCTAGTCGTCAGCTTGTGGTGCAGATACTATACCAGCTTGTCATTTTGAATCACGATGTTACCTGGCAACCCTACTCCAAACGGAAGAAGTGGGCATTAAGATGGCAAACAAGATTCAATGTAAGCGTAAAGGGATGCGTATTGGGACAAAAAAATCTCCGCTTCACATTTACACCAATAAGATCTGAGCTGGGTGGTAGTGGATAGTTTAATGAAACTCTTGGCCCAGTGTGCAGCGGCTGTCCTAAGAGCAAATTCCATGCTGACCATAATTAGAAAAGGATCTGAAGAAAAAATTGCCACCATCATACTGCTGTTATATAAATCTATCGTGAAACCACTCTTGGAATATTGGGTACAAATCACCACATCTGAAGAAGTTCATTGTAGGGCTTGAAAGGGTGCAGAAAAGAGCATCCAAAGTGGCTGGAGAAGTAGAGCAGCTACCCTTTGATAATTGATTAAAAAGCTTACGGCTGTTTGGCTTTGAGAAAAGGCAAGTAAGGGGAGACATGATACAGGTCTATAAAAGTATGCATAGTGTGGAGACAGCGGACAGGGAGAGACTTTCCTCCCTCTGTCATAATTAGGGTTGGCAACCTCCAGGTGGCACCTGGAGATCTCCTACTATTACAATTGATTTCCAGATGACCAAGATAAGTTACCCCAGAGAAAATGGCTGCTTTGGAGGGTGGACTCTGTGGCATTATACTCGGCTGAGATCCCTTCCCTGCCCTCCCCAGGCTCTACCTGCCAAATCTCCAGGTATTTCCCAACCCAGAGCTGGCAACCCTAGGAACCCGGGTTCATGCACCTGAAGCTGAAGAGAGATTCAGGACAGAAAAAGGAAGCACTACTTCATACAGCACATGGTTACATTCTGGAATTCGCCGCCACAAGTTGTGGAGATGGCTGTCAACTTGGATAGCTTTAAAATGGGAGTAGACATATTCATGGAGGACAGGGTTATCATTGGCTACCAGTCCAAATTGCTGCTAGCCATAATGGATATCCAGTGCCAGAGGCAGTATACCTCTTTATACTGGTTGCAATGTGAACAGAATGCTGGGCTTGTTGGGCCTTTGGTTTGATCCAATATTGCTCTTCATGTGTTCTCCAAAACAGCAAGACTCCTAAGAACATAACAAAAGAAGAACCCTGTTGGATCACACTGGTGGTCCATCTAGTCCAGTATCTTGTCTCATACAGTGGCCAACCAGTTCTTCTGGAGGTCCAACACCAGGGCATAGAGGCCAATGCCTTCCTGGCACTTGTAGTCAGAGGTTTACTGCTTCTGAATTTAGAGGTTCCCTTTAGTTACCATGGGTAGTAGCCACTGATTCTGCCTAATCCCCTTTTGAAGCTGTCTATGCCTGTGGCCATCACTACATCCTCTGCTAGCAAATTCCAGATTTTAATCACTCACTGTGTAAAGAAGTAATTCCTTTTGTCCCTCCTGAATCTACTGCCCTCAGCTTCATTGGATGCTCTCAAGCTCTAGTAATTTGGGAGAGGGAGAAATATTTCTTTGTCAATTCTCTTCACCCTATGCATAATTTTATAAATCTCTGTCATAGTACGTGCCGGCGGCCCTTAAAGTTTTAATGCCAAATTAGCTGCTCAATTATTCTACGGAGTACCAAACTGAAGCCTTAAATGGGGACTTGGAAAGAATTCAGTCCAGATTCTTGCGGAAAAATCTTGGACTTCCCTCTTGTGTTCCTTATGCAGCTTTATGCTTAGAAACCAATCAAAAGCCTCTATCGACCAGAGCATGGCTGATAACAACTCAGTTCTGGCTGAAACTTCATTTCCATGCTAAAGCTAAAAGTATTATTACATGCAGGGGTCATTTCGTAGAAAAAGAGCTGCAGGAGCTCATTAGCATAACTTATTAG